CCTTTTGTGTGTCTTTTTTCCTTTTAGAGGAGCAAAGCTCCATATGAGCAAGCAATACCATTACTTATGCCTCAGCATCATATGGTTATTCCACACTACTTCGGAAAAGACAGAGAATTGGAGATTGGAAATGAGAAACCTATTGATCGTAGAAGAATGAGAAGGGATGACTCCTTTTCCCTATCGCCAGCTCAAGACATTCCTCTGCTTTTGCCTCAGGAATCTGATGGGCCACATACTCCTAAAGGATACCCAGAATCAAATAGGTTAAGAACCTTTTCAAATCTCAATCAGCCAATCAAAACGAGTACTAGTCTTCCTCCCCTTTATCAGAAGGCCAGAGTTCAACCAGTTGGCTCAGATACACCAATGAAAGGCTTTGTAGATGATATTGATTATATTAATGAAAGTGGGAAAATGTCTCAAGATAGAGTTGCTTGTGTCAGCACAAAAGGCACAGATCCTGAATGGTGGGAGGCACAAGAACGGGGTGATCAGGGAGGCTTTGCTGACGAATCTGGACGAGTTGGTCCTCGTGCTTCCTGCCGCTGTCAGGTATGTTACTGATGCCTATTGCCCAAACTCAAGTGGTCACCTCAAAGATAATTGCGCCAACAGTTTCTTTTTCCCCTTTCTTTAATATTTTAGATCATCTGATTAAACTCTTCGTAGTTTGAAATGCTTCAGATGATGTAGTAATCAATTACTAATGTTTTGGCCGCTAAATTGATATCATTTTTTGATAGAGACAGATGTTTTAACCATAGTTAATGTAACATTGCCTAATTGCATGAAAAATCAGTATTACTTTGGTCTCACGACAGATTTATTTTCATCTCGGCACATCATATGATCTGACTGTCTTCTTAACTGGTTCTCCCTTTTTTTTTCTTTTTCTTTTTAATTTTTCCCCACACTGGATATAGTAATCTATGCTATCATTTAAATTGTTAGGTTATTAGGAGTGTCAGTCAATGGTCTGCTGGGACAAGCCAAACTGAACAGAGCATCCACAATGCTTATTGCTCTCTAATTGAGAAAGCTGAATACTTCATCTACATAGAGGTATCTATGTACTTTCCTTCTGTACCTACATTAGATGATCCCGTTTATAATTATGATGACTTGGTTTTATGTTTAGTCTCCAAACATGTGATTTAGAAGAGTGTTTTTTTTTCTGTGTTAATTATTGGAGTTGATATTGGATAATTTTCAGTATCCAGCGTGGCACAACTGTGTTTTGATTGTTCCTAATCATGGATACTAATTTTCAGTTCCCTCTCTTGCTTAGCCCTTCTTTTCCAATGCCTACCATTCCTATTTCAGTATTACTTCCTATGCTTGTTTTGTGGCTTCTTCTGGACTGATTGTTCCGTTTCATCCTTGGTACTTTGTTCCAGAATCAGTTTTTTATCTCAGGTCTTTCAGGAGATGAGATGATACAAAATCGTGTGTTGGAAGCTTTATATCAACGGATTATGCGAGCTTACAATGATCAAAAAGTTTTTAGGGTTATAATTGTCATCCCCCTCCTTCCTGGCTTCCAGGTTCTTATTATTTTTGCTTTTTGTCTGTACAGTTTCTACTTCCTCAATAAATATTTTCCGCATAGTTATTGGACTTATTTCATAATCATGCAGGGAGGCCTTGATGATAGTGGGGCAGCATCTGTAAGAGCCATAATGCACTGGCAGTACCGAACCATTTGCAGAGGACAAAAATCTATATTGCATAATCTCTGTGATCTCCTGGGTGCAAAAGCCCACGACTATATATCTTTCTTTGGCCTCAGGGCTTATGGAAGACTCTTTGATGGCGGTCCAGTGGCAACCAGCCAGGTATTTTTGTTCCAAGTGCATCACTTATATTCAAGTGAGCAGCACCGGAAATCTTATTCACATTTATGTATTCTTCAGGTGTATGTTCACAGTAAAATCATGATAGTCGATGACTGTACAACTTTGATAGGATCTGCTAATATTAACGATAGAAGTTTACTTGGTTCCAGAGACTCTGAGGTATAGTTAAGGTTCATTTCAGTAACTACTATTTTGTAATTGTTGTGTCATATTCAATCTCGTAAATTGTCCCAATGGAATTTCAGATTGGTGTTGTAATAGAAGACAGAGAGTTAACTGGATCATATATGGGTGGAAAACCATGGAAAGCAGGGAAGTTCGCTCTGACTCTTCGCTTGTCATTATGGTCTGAACACTTGGGTCTCCAAGAAGGAGAGGTCTGCAAATTTCATTCTTATCCGAAGAAGATAATGTGCTTCGTGTTGTTGATTCCCACTGATTATGTTCATATTTTTCTCCCCAGATTGATCAAATAACAGACCCAATTGTTGAGTCTACTTATAAGGACATTTGGCTGGCAAGAGCAAAGGTAATTGAACGTTTGTATTGATAACATGATCTGTGGAATATTTGGGATAGATTAATTATGAAATGAATTATAGTAAACTAGTAAATGTATTTGGATGTCTTTCAGAGAAATAGTGCAATTTACCAAGATGTCTTTTCTTGCGTGCCAAATGATTTGATACACACCAGGTATATATGGCAGTTATCATTCATTTTTTGGTATTTTATGATTTTATCCATTTTCTCTTTGTCCTGACATGCATTCTAAACGTATAATTTTGTAGAGTTGCTTTCAGACAAAGCACAGCTCGCTGGAAAGAAAAAATTGGCCACACAACTATTGATATAGGAATTGCCCCAAAAGTGTTGGAATCTTTTCATAATGGAGCTATCAAGAATACTGATCCCTTGGAGAGATTGGCTTCAGTGAAGGGTCATCTTGTTTCTTTTTCGTTGCAGTTCATGTGTCAAGAAAATTTAAAACCTGCTTTCAATGAAAGCGAGTACTACGCTTCTCAAGTTTTCCATTGACCGTGTGATGTCTGAGAGAGTATGTAAAAAATATTGAGGATCTTTCCCCCTTTTTTTCCCAGGGATCTGCATCTTTATTACTTGCATTATTTTATTTCTTGTAAAGAACATATCTGCTGCAGTTCATTCTTGTATAAAATCATTTAGTTTCATTATACCCTGAAATATAATAAAGGTCTAATTTTGCTCCAAAAAATTTGTGTAGGAATTGTGAGTTTTTGAAAGTTTTTCTTTGGACCAATATCGCCTCAGAAACATTGAAAGAGGAGCAATATCGCTCTTAACTATTAAAAACTTTCAATAATCAGAACTTTTACGCGAAAACTTTCTAGCAAAATTGAACCTTAACCTTATAATAAATCTGTTTGTCATATTTATGAATTTAGTTGTTATTAATGCTTTCTATTTATATTTCTTACAAATTTCATTCTCTTACCTGTCAGCTAAATTCAAACCTTCTGTAGCTTTCAGTTTTATTAAAGGTACATATCAATGCCTCCCCTGCAAGCACTCATTCCTCTTCATGATCTGGACAGAAGCATGATTATTACTGGTCACATTAAAGCAAGTTCCTCATCCTTAGGCTCAACTCAAGTGGTGGATCATGTTCAGGAAATTAAATAACCAGTATTTTCATTTGGGCATGCGTTTTTTTTTTTTTTTCCACCACTACTTTTGATTTAGTGCTAAATGCCGCCCCACCAATATCCAATATAAAACCCAACCTAGTCTTTGTCAAAATCCATATGAACCATTCTGACTCAGAATCTTCATTATTCTAAATCATCCCATCTAGGATGCAATCTAGCACTTGTAAAAGTCTTATCCTGATGACTTACTTTTTTTTGGGTTGGGTTAGGTGTATTACATCAACTGTATCTCTAAATAACCATAACTAATAATAAAAATGATCACTTTATTATGTCATCGATTCTCGTTTAAAATTTTCTTCTGAACTTTTCTTGTTTATTAACTCTCCAATGAATGAATGACATCAATATATTTATATATATATATGTATGTATGTATGACATATGAGATTGCGTCTTAATCATATGTTAACAAGTATCAAGGGGGGAAATGGCCATTCAAAACCTTGGTAAGGGAACAATGGTGTTTAAGGACCCTAATTCAGAAATGAAGTTAGGGATGGAATCTTTAAAACATGACCTTAGTCCTTTACTAGTGAATGTCATTATTTTTCCACTCAAGTCCTCCCATGGAAACTCCACAAAAATAGCTCTTTACTCTTCAAGAGTTAGTATGCAGCAATCATGCATATGTGGGGCCCTTTCCCTCCACATCCATCCAAGCCATGAAAGTATGCTTGTTAATCAACTATTTAACAAGTGTCTTTGTTTTATTGTTGGTGGTGATGGGTCACAAACTAATTTCACAAAGTGTCCCTTTTATTTGACCCTTGACATCCTGGGGCCCACCAAAACAACTGGCCAAGCCACAGCCTTGTGTTTGGTATATTTATTGGTTACCTGGTTAGAATTTGTCCAATAGATTGATTTATTCAATTATTATGACTGTGTAAAGATATTTAGTCTCTTTCCCTTGTGATCAACATTGAACATTAATTATTAATTAATTTAAACCAAACCACTAAAAACAATCTAATCTCGTCCACAAAAGGCAACTTTTTAATGCTTTAAGTCCTTGTCAAGTTATGTTAATTTAATTCAAATTTCTTAATTGTTAATTACCGACCAGTTATGATATTTTATTTAATTCGTTAAATTTAGTTCGGTGCAGACAAAATATTATTCAAATGCGCAAGTTGATATATTTGTTTTTAATCCCTCAGAAAATACTAATTTATTGAATTCAACGATTTATTTTTCAATTTTATAATCATAGGAACTCACAAGTAGGAGGCCATGATGTAACTGATAATGTAAGTTAAAATGTGAAGAGAACAACATTTTAGTATTCAAATTGCTCATTCCTTCTGAATCTTGAGGAGGTCATAAAAAGGGTGATAAGGTAATATCACTCACCAGCCACCAGCGTTGATTATAAGTTGCAATAATTAAACGTCACGTCGTTAACACAATTGTGATTGCAGTTTTTGGTTAATGAGTGCAAGTAAATATATACACACACATATATATAACTTCAGCGAAATCACCTTTGAGTTCCTCAGATTTTGCAGGCAATGCAAGCAACACTTTTCTCCTATATCAGGATTACTGGGATTCAAAGGTATTGAATATTTTATCCTTGTTCATGTTCCTTTACTGGAGAAAAACGTTTGCGTCTTCATTTTGTTTCTGGAAAAGGAAAAACAGGCGTCGCCACAAAATCATATAACAAGAGTTAAATTTCTTGATTCTGCCAAGATTTTCAATCTGGTTTTGAACATGTCAAGGGTTGAAATTTGTATTGCAGCGTGATTGGAATGTAGTGGTTGCCGCCATGGTTTTCTTTCCATCTCTTGTCAATGGATTGGCGAGAACTGTGTCATTCAGAAGAGAAAAGAATAGTCCAAAGGATGAAGGTGGAAGGAAAGTTGTGGAAGCATTGGCCAAAGAAGCAAAGAAGAATGAACTGTTGTTGAGCTCATCTGGAACTGTTAAGTCTCATAAGGCTAACACTTTTGCATCTGTCTTCTCCAAGAGGGGCACAAAAGGGACCAATCAGGATCGTCTTGCTGTTTGGGAGGTAAGCCAACTCCATCCTTTTTTGTTCATCTGGCAAAACTACTTCAAAGATCATATATCAGAAGCCCGAGCAAGTTTGGCTAGCATATAAATATATCGAAAATCAATCAAATAAATCAGCTGTAAACAAGTAAGCATGTCAGAGATGAGCTCAAATGAATAATTCTGCTAGAGGAGCTTACATATGTTCAAATCAATCTATCATATGTGGCTGAAAACGTGTTATATAACACTCATGTAATTTGTTCAACCATCAAATAATGACACTATGGTATTTAGTGGCCATGAAAAAAAACTACGGTATTTTGTATCCAATTAATGAAAATAATCACGAAATGTTTCAAAATTATCCCAAGATACTTTGTAAAGAACAAGGAACAAGGGAGTTGAATGAGGCATTTGAGGCTTCGAGAAGATAAACTGATTTCGAGTAAAATCAAGTTGAGAAAACATTGACTTTCCTACAAATTTCTGTAACATATGAATATTTACTATGTTTTAATTTGTTTGGTGTGGTAGGGGTTTGGTTGCCAAGATGACATGATCTTCTGTGGAATATTTGATGGGCATGGCTCATGGGGACACTTTGTAGCCAAAAGGGTCAGAGAATTAATACCTCTTTCTTTACTCTGCAACTGGCAAGAAGCCTTGGCTACAACATCACTTGATCTGGATTTTAAACTTGAAGAAGACAGAAACCTTCATTGGTTTGACCTATGGAAGCAATCATATTTGAAGACTTGTGCTGCTGTGGATCAGGATCTGAAGAACCATACCCGCTTTGATTCCTTTCAAAGTGGTGCTACTGCTTTGACAATTATTAAACAGGTTAGATTCTCTATCTTCAAGTACCGATTTATTACTTTGCTTATTTGCTTTCAGAAACCTTAGATTGTACGGTTCTCTTGTTCAACTGGTGCAAAACATTTGAATCCGATGGTTATGCAATTCTACTTGATGGATCTTCTCCAAATCTTTTAAGGAACATGTCTTTGTAACTCAATAATATTTTTCACAATCTCAATATACAGAGCTATGCAATATCTCAATTTGATGTATTTATCAGAAGCAGCCTAAAATTTCTGCCAAATCTATTTCAGGGTAAACTTCTCACCCTAGCAAATTTAGGTGACTCTCGGGCTGTCTTGGCAACTGCTTCAGAGGATGATGATGGCACACTGATTCCCCTTCAACTTACAACTGATTTAAAGCCAAACTTACCAGGTAAAATAAACTTTATAATGAGGCACACTTCTGATATAATTATATGTTTTACTTAACATAGACCCAGTCTACCCTAAATTCTGTGGGTGTAAGAAAAATTGACAGTTGCTTTTGTATACATCAGAGGAAGCGGAGCGCATAAAGAAGTGTAAAGGGAAGGTGTTTTGTATGGAAGATGAACCAGGAGTGTACAGAGTGTGGTTGCCAGATGGTAAAACGCCAGGGCTTGCCATATCAAGAGCCTTTGGTGATTACTGTGTCAAGGACTTTGGACTAATCTCTGTGCCTCAAGTCACTCAAAGAACACTCACCACCAGGGATCAGTTCATAATCTTGGCATCAGATGGGGTATGTATATGTGTAATGTAACTCTATTCTTATTTCAATCAGGATTTCAGAACAGAAAACATTTACGTTAATTATCATCCTTGTTTCTGTGCGTTCAGGTATGGGATGTTATTTCCAACGATGAAGCAGTGAAGATTGTATCCTCAGTGCCTCAGAAGGAAAAAGCAGCTCAGAGACTGGTTCAATGCGCTGCATATGAATGGAAACGAAAGAGAAGAAACATTGCCATGGATGACATGTCGGCTATTTGTCTCTTCTTTCACTCCTCTTCTTCATCTTATTCGCTTAAACCTTCTAGGCGTGTCAAATAGCACTCAGTTTCACTTACAACATAGAATACTTTACACTCTCCTGGTCACTGTACAAGCCTTTCTATACATGGTGAACTGTACGATACATTCACTTGTCTTGCTTCTTAAATGGAATGATTTTGAGTTGATAATAACTAATTTGAAGTCTTTACTTCAGTTTTACCCATACGCGTATGGCTCTAGCTTCAAATAATGGCTGGATGACACTAATGGATGAGCTAAGCTAACTCGTAAAACCTGAAGTTGTCGTAAAATACTAAATAATCAAGTTGGAATGACTTATAATCAACTTTTAAATAACAATTTATAAAATACGAGATAAATATGTAATGAGAGTTTTATCTTAGCCTATGTGAGACGTATTTATAAATGATTTCAAATATGATATTAGCTCCGGTTCTAGTAATAATACTAAAGGTTTCAAATATATTGTACCAAAAAAAAAGAGGCTTCAGAGATAATTTTTATTAAATAAACTGACTCATTTGATGGGAAAAGAATCAAAACAATAGGGATTAAATAATTTTTTATTTACTAGGGACATTTTTGAAAAATAAACATTTGTTATTCTTCCATTATGAGGGATTTTTTAATCATCATATGGCCAAGCTCAATAACATCATTATTGGAGGTTTTGAAGTTAACGAGAGTCCTCCTTACTGAGAGAAACATGTATATGGATAATATTGCCAACCATAACTTTAATTTATCATTAAATTTGATGTATCGACATTTATTTTAGGGAAAATTATGATCAAGTCTCACAGAAGAGAAATAATTACCAAAAGGTCTTAATAACAATCTTAACAGCCTAAAATGACAAGTCTTATAATGAAAATGACAACTTCGGAGATTTATTTTTTAGTTGTTTTCTTTATTTGGGACCTCATTGTATTTCTCTCATTATTTTATCACTAAACTTGACCTTTTTTGTGTTTTTGTGGGTTATCATCCAATTATGAGCCCTATCATCCAATTTGAATAATAATAATAATAATATTTCCGTTTGCCTGGCGCTCGCGCTGATCCATGGACCATAGCACCTTAAGCTGCCTGACGAATTGACTAAAAGGTCCCAGACGTTGCGTAAAATGACAAATATGCCACTCTATCACCCGATTCAGCATCCTCCATCCATCGCCATCTCCAACTCCGGCGACCAAACTCCATCCCCGGCCACTCCCTTGATGTACATCTCTCTACCGCTCTCGCCCTCTCCCGCAGTCGTGTCTCACGCGTGGCATCGACGCACCTTTCTCTCCGTCTCACACTCCTCTCCACTCTCGTCTACTCCTTTTACTTCTCTATTCAAATCCTGTCTCCGGCGACCATCTAAAATTTCCATGTCTTCCGATGGCATCCGATTAGCTTCTCCGGCTAAGCAGCTAGATATCTGGGAACTGAACGATGAATCCGATTTTGAAACTCTTCTGTCACCCGATGGCTACCTGTCCATCTGCGGCTTCGGATCCCTCCTTTCAGGTACGTAAAATACAGTTACACTTTGCATTTGTCAACTGTGATCGTTTTGGTAGTTGTGCCTTATGGGACAGAGAGAAGTGCCAGAAGTACTTTCCCGGATTTGGTGAACTTCAGAGTTGCGAGATTGAATGGGTTTCGACGGGTGTTTGCTCACGTAGCCCCGGTTTTCTTTGAGCGTGGCATTGCCAAGCCAGAAACTAAGGTTAATTCTTACTCGATAAGCACCAGTGATTTTATGTGTTTAATTTCCTTAATTCCGTGAAAACAGAGGAAAGAAGAAGGATTGCAGTTTATGCCGCTGATATTTAGATTGCTTATCAGATAGAATGTGTGTCTGGAGGCAGTTTTATTGTGTTTACGTATCAACCCAAAGAGACTTCCGTATATGATGTATTTACTGAGCGCTGATTCAAAAATTCTTAGGAGATTTCCAGCTTGAGTGTGGAGCCATGTGTAGCAGAAACTCTTATTGTAACAGTCTTTGAGATCACAAAATCAGAGGTTCGCGGTTACATTTTGATCCCTTTTTGAGTGAGGATGAAGTTAAGCAAAGCACTAGAGCTAACAAGATTTGGATCTCATGTTCAGATTCCAGCTTATATGAGGAGGGAGCTCGAGTTTCGGTTTCTTGCTGTAAGCTTTTAGATTGCGAACCTTGTTGCTTGTCTAGTTCGATTGTCGTCTATTATGTATTTGAGATGTCCAAATTTCGATCTTTTACATCCTAGGTTCTTCCTGAAACGCTTGATGGGACATCTTTTGACTATCCAGCGGTATGTAGCAAATGAGTGACTAATTTTTGTGATGTCAGAGCACCTGTTTCAGCAAATACACCGTATATCTGATGCGTCTAATTTTTCATAGGTCCTTTGCGCTCGTTATAGTGATGAAGAGTTCTTCAACATTAGATGTAAAGGTAATCCTTTTGCCATTTTTTTTATTTTTATCGGCGCTTGAGACGTAAATGATTTCCATTTAGTCGAAACCTCTAATATTCATTCAATCTTCTTCATGTTTCTTTGCATTATTATGCTTGTGTCTATTTGTGCGGCATTATTGGCACCTTTCATCCCAAATATGACTCATTACAAAAATCAGTCAAGGAGATAATTAACCATGTTCCTTTTGAAGCTGAATGAGTTGAAAAGATGGAAGTACCTTAATCACCCGTAGGACCAATGCAGAACATGCCTTTTATAAAGTTACAGCATGTTGTCATGTTACATTCTTGATTCTACATATCGTAGGCTCTTATATCCGAATGGTCCCATATTGTTACTCCATACTAATCATTTACGCATTACATCAAGATTCTTATATAGCGGCTTCCCAATGGACCGGGGTTAATAGTTGCCCCCGGTTATCACACGATAAATAATTAGTTCTTCAGAGACCGATGTAATACATTGATTTCATAAATTATCGTCCATGCAGTAGGGTGAAATGGAATATCAGATTATAGGATTTTCCTCTCATCAAGATATTGTTGGTTGATACTGGGGTTCGCTTCTAAATTCAGTGATCTCTGTACCATTGTCCTCGGTCTGAACGAGATTGTTTCATTTGTTGTTGGGATCCTTTTCTTCCTACAGGAAGCAAGGAAATCTATTTTCAGCAATATGGACGATGGAATATTGATCGGATTTGGAGAGATGATGTCTTACCTTGTCGTGTTTATCTTCGACACTGGTAAGCACATTTTAGATTAAAGTTCATTTGTTATTCACCACTTCAATATCTTAAAGAATAAAAGATCTAAAATGGTGAATCGCTTACATTTTGCAAGTTAAATGATTCTGTCTGTTAAGATGCATAATCTGGAACCCTGGGTTCACTTTTACCTTTTTCAGTTTTCTTTCCCGTTGACAAACCAGAAAGAATAGCAATTTCGTGGAGATTAAAACACCTTAGGAAGCTGTATGAGATACCAAGCAGTTAGAAACATATTAATAAGATGTTTTGATAGTTGCGTGTTTATATCTTCTAAATAGCATAGGGATGGTATACACACATGTTAAGTTCAAATGTTCAGTAAACGAGAATCGAAGAACTGGGGGAAGTTAGGATACCTTCGTACCAAATGCCACGTAAGGGTATGTTCAGGAGTTAGAAGTGAGGTCAAATAAAAAAAATTTCTTCCCCATCATTCGGATGTTTAAAATAAGCAAGGAAAGAGAATTGAAGCTTAGATGATCTATGTTGAATTGTTGATGGATTATTACTATTTTTTCATAAACTTTTTATTTGTGAAGTTGATTATAAATATTTAATTTCTTGACATTTAAAAGAGAAAATAATGGAAGGCATAGTAATGAATTAGCTTATTTCTTCATCAAATGCCATCGTGGAGGCTTGGAAACCAACAGGTTGGAAATATTTGGTAATAATACTACTGCGCATGGAGAAAATTGTGATGAAATATTTCCTTCCCTTTCCTAAGCCTAAGCTTTCTCTTTTAAGATTCAATATACCATTGGAATCCCAATGTAAATTAATTGGAAATTCATGAAATATTTTGTAGTGTGTTGGCAGCAAAAAATCTTGGCGACGAGGCTTACAACAATTTCATGGATCACACCTATCTAGCCGACCGTAAAACAACAATTCGCAAGTATCTGGCAACAACGGGTTCTGGGATCATGGAAGAGGAGCCTCCAGTTTCCCTCAAGCAACGCTATGGTGGTTGATAATCTAATCCAAATTGTAGTTGTCCATTTGCTGCAAAAATATGGTCTTTCTGATGTGTTGGGTGGTGGCAGAAAGAAAGATGTGTTCGCCGTCATGATGTTTATGGTTGATGGAACATTCTTGGCCTAAATATACTTGTGATCTTTCTTGCATGAATTTTTCCCTATGTTTCTTAAATTTGATTGATTACAATTAGGTTCTTCAAAAATTTTGTTTAGTTTTCGTCACTCCTTCAGGGGAACCTCTTGCAGACTGCAGAGTATTTCGGCAGAGATATAGGAAATAGGATCGCATATCAAATAATCCAGCAAACCAGCAAAATGACGTCTTCAAAGTTAAAAAGCGAAATGAAAAGAAATAGAAAGGGATAAAATATTTTCTTGCTCTCAATTTATTTGAGATTTTATTTTTCTGAAATTTGAAAGACTCGTGGGAACAAAATCGTTAGGTTAAAAGCAATATTTTTAAGATTAGGCAGGTGATGGAAATGATTGACAACATGCATTAAACGAATCCTGCACTGTAGGCTTTAAGGTTACTTGAGATGTTTTACCCAAAAAGATGCTATTATTATCATCGGCATGCAATTTAATTTGCTTCCCTTAAGTGAGAGGATCAACAAACCCATTAATTAATAGGAGTTGGGTTAGCGAAAGAGGCTAATTCCTTGTAACATACTACATTCGGTCTTTAATATAAGATCCTATTTGACTTTTATTTTGATCCTAAATATAAGACCCCAATCTACTTTGTCTCTCATATTTATACATTTTTTTTCCAAAGTAGCCCTTCTAACAATGATAGTTTTAGTCAATACACTTGATTAGTAAGGATATTTTAGGAAAGACAACACCTATTTAGGACAAATAACTAACTTAGCTTACTTTCTTAATCTCCTTAAATTAGTCAATTGGCTCTTATAATTAGGACCGAAGGTAGTAATAAACTAGTATTTGAATTCTCATCTAAAGAGATTCTTGATAGTGCCTCGAATAAAACTGCCTTAAAAAAGAAGATACCTATACGTAGAGGAGGGAAAAAAACCAACCCAAGGATTAAAAAGGAGAAAGATAATAGGATACAGTACATCAATCTTCAACCAGGATGCACTAGTTAAGCAGGCAATGCATCATTAAAACATTCCTTCTTTTTCTTTTTCTTGGTTTTGCTCGGAGTCGTTAAAACAACCAAAAAGTCACTTTCAGGCCCAAAAAATTTGTTCGGAATGACTTTTGAGAAACATAACTCATGGGCTAAAAAGTCAGGTTGGAATTAAAACTTTTTTTTTATTTTTTGTTTTTTTTTCTCTTGAACCTTTCTAAATTGACTTTTCAATATATCATCCAAATAAATTGATAAATTTACTTTCTATAAAAATTTATCCAAATATAAATTACATTGCATTAATTGACTCTTACCTCAATTTCAATTTACAAAAATAAGTAAAAATAAAAGTTGCCGTTGAAGGGTTTCCTGCAAGGTGCGTTACAGACACAGCCATTAAAGAACTAAGCTAATTCATTTTTGGGCCTCTGAAGAATTTACTATACCTTCAGAAAACGATTAGAAATATTAATATCGATTTTGATCATGTGATGCCTTACTCGAACACAATTGAGGAATGAAGCCTAAGACAACTGATATTTGTATTCAATTATATAATTTTTCCGCTCATCTGCTATACTTTTCACATATCAATATTACAACCTGTATCCTTTTCAAGTTCTCGGATAAGTAGTTCCATCATCTTCTTATACATAGGCATATAATGATCATTTATCATCGTTTTAGAAAGTCTGAGCTTGCTGTACAGCTCTCTAGGTGTTTCATATAAGCAGACATGTTCCTCAACGGGATCATCTGAAGCTGAATTTGAATCATCTGAGGAAGGAGGTACAGAGACAATATGCATGATTCTGCCTGGCGGGTAAAAATGGTGGTTGTCCAAACTGTCAGACGTTGTAATTGGGTTACTCCCTTCAGCAGCATCAGCAAGCTGAATCTCTTCTTCCGTGATCTCTTTTGCTGCAGCTGCCTCTTCCTCCTGAGCATGAATATTCAGGGTATTATCCTGTTTTTGAAGCTCCTTTTCCAGTTCATACCACAATTCACCTTCGGTAATGTCGTCTGTGGTAGAAGTGGTGATATCTTGATTTGCATGAATGAGTTGTTCCTCTTCATCAATGTCATCGGGGTCCAATCCACCATTTGATGAATCATGTCCACCATTTGATGAATCATGTCCACTTGAGATAGGATCTCTCGCCACCTCTTCAGTAAGAAGAGATTCAGTTGTTCCCTCAGATATTACAGCGGCTTCACCTAAACTCTCCATTTTAGTGTTAGGAGATGGGCCAACACTTCGGCGGCGTGCACTCATGCAAGACCATGATGACAATGATGAGCGAGTTCTGACAACAGCTTCAGCAACACTTTGAGCACTCTTCATCACAACCTGGAAATAGAAACAGAGTCTAAGTCAAATGGTAAATTTCCAAGTTTATTTTTTAAAAAAAAAAAATCCAAATTTTCTATCACAATGCCAAATACAGACTACAGAGATCACGGCTACCTGAGTGCCACTGGTTACTGGCCTAAGAATGGCACCTGCACCAGCTACCTTGGCTTTTGCACTAGATATTGATGGGAGACGGGATCCAAGTGCAGTTGCAGAGCGATAGACAACATTCAGGACCTTTGTGTGCTCAACTTGATCCCGCAAATCATTCGACCAAGAAGATGCAGTAACCTAATGACAACCAACTTGAGTGAGGATCAAATGCATTTTCTATCAGATTACACCCAAACTAATGTAAAAAACATTGACATCATCTAGAGTCTTAAGAAGTAATTAGAGGCCAAAGCACCTCAGAACGTAGATCATCAACAGAAGAAGTAGAAAATGTCGGCACCAAGTCAGAACCATTTATAATTGTAGTGATAAAGTGCTTCCCTGATTCTGCTAACTCCCATGTCATGCAGGCAGCTGCAAGGGTGGCAATTATGATGCAAAAGATTAAATATTTTGCCATTTTGGTAGTGCTTAGTACAAGAAGACAGGCAAGATTCTTATATTTAGAGAAAATTCAACAGCATAAAGTGAATGCCAAAAACAGAAATGCGTAAACCATTTAGTTTAAAATGAATGTATCATATGTAGTGTAAGATTTCATTCTATACTCATGTTCTGTTTCTGGGCTAAAAAAAAGTAACTAAATTTTCAACCTGAAGTACCATCAAAATAGGCGAGCTTGCTGTTAGTCTGTCACAGATAGTGCTCAATTTCTCAGATACGTCATCAGGCAAATGAGACAATATGTCAAGCTACATGGATGTAGTACATCTCACTCTTGCAAATCACAATACTTATTTTTGTTATCTTATGCTTGTAAGTCACGATAATGACATTTATTATAGTAACTTGAAAACTGAAAAGACTACCAAATTGATTATAATAATTATGGATAATGATCACCACCAACATATTTAGCCGTTACAACATTTTAAGGAAAATTTTATTTCATTTGTGCAGTTAGCTAGCAACACAAATTCCATGGAGTATTCAGCAATTAATCAAATCTGAAAAACGAAAAGATAATGTGATGAAGTTATAATGTACAAAAACTACAGAATTAACTCACAAACCAGGTATAAAGAAAATGGTAGCTTAACTACATGCCTGGGGCAAATGTGACACAGGTGCTTGAGGAGAACTCCTTTTGTTCCCTAAGAATGTAGGTTAACAATGCTGCAGTACCACCACCTAGCGAGTGCCCAACAATCTAAAGATAAAAGGGCAATTGTTTAGTGAAGTCAGTTATACAGGCAAGCATAAAATGGATTCACATGACAACGAAAATTAAAAATTAAAAAGTGAGAGAATATAGCATCTAGAGCAAAAATACAATAAGGAAACAAATATATGAGAAATAGAATGCAAGAATCTTGGCTACACTTTTGTTGTTCATTTAGCTTTCAATTCAGTATAGTGTCGTTCCACTGTGTTGCTCATTGTACAATGAAAGAATATACCTTTAATTTGAAGTCAGGATATTCGCCAAGTGCCTTAAGTAGAGAAGGAGTGCAGAGCTTCGCAATCCATCGTGCAGCTGCAACCATGCCACAATGTGCATATCCCAAAACTAAGTTGCTTATGCCACCATCATTCAAAACTGAGTGATGGAAAGGGACCACAGCACCAGTTGCAGCCGTCAATGTGTCTTTAATGCTATGAGTACCTCGAATTAATAGAAGGAAACATTTTGATCTTGTATCACATATGATTGTGAAAGCAGGCTTCAAAAGCTGCAACAAGAATACAGGGCTATAAGTCAGTTTTCATTTACAGTGAACATAAGAATGATGAAAATCTAAAACAAACTAGTATTTAGAAAAATATATGGTGGCTAAATAAGAAAGGAAAAATAAAAGCAACAGAAACATATTTCCCACAGATAATAGAACATGCTTTACAAGAATTATTGATTACTGACTAGTAAATGGATATAGATTGGCTGTGGAAAATGGAAATATATCCATAATAATTCTAGAATTAAAAGACATGTCAACTCTCAGCAATGCATCAGAATGCAAAGCAAACCTATAGATGATACAAACCTACAATAGCAACCACCATTTATCAAACATTAATAAATTTTACCTTTTTCCCCTTTCTACCCACGGAGGATTTTCTTCTATCAAAATGTATGATCCTCATTCAGCGATAAGGGAATATAAATTACACATTTGTAATCACAAGTTATCAAAGAGACTAGAGAGCAAAATGCACGATTAGTCTAACAGACAAAATTCTGTATGTGGAAGTTAAAAGATGAAAATGGGGGGAAAATGGGATTAAGAAAAATACTGGAGGAATCAGATTTGGACCTCAAGATCTGGATGATCTAGATGGTTACACACTCTCAATCCCTTTATATGCCAAAATTAATGCCCTTTTTTTTTAACACAAACATATTCAACAACCAACTAGGGTATACATAAAATAGGTAAACACTTCTCTAACAGAATGAATATAGGAGTAGCGTTTTATTTATATAATTTGATCCATCATGGTATTAAAAAATAAAATTGTTTATACATTCAACCCTTGAGTTTATTTCAATTTACTCTCAGATCCCCATTGTTATGTAGCCAGAAACCCGCTTCCAACACAATGCTTTAGGCAGAGGTTTTCGTGACCTCATTAGGACCCTAATGCCGCCCGGCAATAGCCAGAAACCCGCTTCCAACACAATGCTTTAGGCAGAGGTTTTCGTTACCTCATTAGGACCCTAATGCCGCCCGGCAACAAAGTTTAGGTTTTTCTGTATCTCATTGGGTTTGCATCCCTTTCTCGAGTATAACACCTCAAAAACTCAAGAAAGGTTCCCACCTGACTAGGATCGGGCAATCAAACTCTTGTGGCAAGGTCAGTGTAAACACAGAGAACCTCATGATGCCCACGACAGTATAAACTCTCGCAGATTAGATAAAATATCAAAGAGCGAAAGTAATGATTTTTGTGGATACGCAATTTCGGACCGTCGTATCCAGAGATGTTACCTCTCACATGCCGGCAGGTGAGATAGCACAGATTTTAAACCCCAACAAGGCGAATGGTATTCTCCACGTCCATCCCAGATAAACATAAAAAAACATATATTTAAGATTGAACATGGAGACGGTTAGACAGAAAGACACTAAGGGCCGTACCGCAGCTTTGGGCTTCTGCAGGAGGACATCGTCCGTTGAGAATCCCGCAGACTCTAAAAACACGGGAAAAGGTTTCTTCGAGAAATGCATACATAGCGTCAACAACCTCAAGAGACTATGTAACTCCGCTACAATTTCGGGGCCTCTGAGCTGCACACAATCATTACCCGCATATACACTTGCAACTGGTAAATTGCCCTGCAAGAATTTTATACTAATTGAAATCTCCGACCAAAGGCAGAGCACAAACTTACCATAGAACTTTTAAAACACATGTAACACAAAACCGTTCAAGCAATGAATTTGGATGCCGGTTATGAATTTCAGCTTCGTGCTCAGTATCAATTCAAATGAGCAAAAAGCCAGAACTAACAAAGAAATGTTGGACTGATACGAAATTTTGATTTGCGGGTGAACCTGCTTGCGCATGAAATAATTAATGCCGAAGGCCAAGTCGCCGATGGGCCACTTGCCCAAAGTTTCCGAATAAGTAAACCTCAAAGTTTCAGTTAACGTAACAATGGATTCCAACAAAGTCGCCGGAGCTTGAGCTGGCCTACGCGCAAGGCGCTTCCGTCTAACCGATCTGCTGGATTTCGACAAATCCCCATCCGGATCCTCGTCGTCAATCCCCTTCCTCGCAAGCCTCCTACTCAAGACATAATACAGCACCACGGCCGCTCCGGCGGCGGTCGCCATTGTAGCGGCGGCCATGGAATCTTCTCTGAATTACCCAGAAGAAGGCAAGCCAACCGAAGATCAAGAAAATAATAGATAACGCCGTAGATGCTAAAAGGAAATGAAAACGAAATGCAAGGGAGAAGAAAAGACAATCAGAGAATAAGAAACAATATTTGGATTCAGGATTTGAGCTCCGAGCCGTAGTTGAGACTTGAGAAAAGCGGACAATGTGGCTTTCTGATGGGAGCAACACCAGGGAAGCAGGAAGCTGATCTACTGTTTAGTCCGAATGACGAAAAGACCCTTTATTATTTAAATTAAACCCCACTTTTATTTTTCAATGTGTTTTTATTTTCCCCATTCTCTTAATTGCGAAAGTCGAAACCCAGTCATCGCTGACTTATATACACTTGTTTCTATCTCCTTAGGTGTAGTGTGGTTCATAATCCATATATATATGTGTATAATTTTCAATCTCAAGATTCGCATGATTGATTTAGGTAGAATATATAAGATTTTTTTTGCCGAGAATGCAAGTTTTTTTTTTTACAATAACTAAATTGGTCTTCATGCATTTTACAAAATTTAGTAAATACAATCTTTATAAATTTAATATTTTGCCTTGAAGGTATGAAATCTAGGCCGAAAAACTAGTATGTTTTGTAAAACTTAATCAGTATTATTTCTAGTAGAAAGAGCTCAGATTATTTGCTGGTAAAAAAACTAAGACTACTTAAATTAAATGAGATTTTTAGTTTAAATTCATATAATTGAAGATCGTAAGGTTAATTTGGTATTAAATACACTAGACATAGATTAGGGGGAAAGAATCACTTGATTGATAACTTGTACACGCCTTCCAATTAATTCCTCGTTAGTTATTAGTTATTTAGTATTTCTTTCGTGTTGGTGCTAAATGTAGAATTAATTTTTTATATCTATCAAATTTTTTAAAATTATCTTTATTAAGACTCCCTCAATTATAATTAAATAATATTAAAAAATATATTAAAAATATATATATCATATTTTTTATAATTAACTAATTTATTTAATTTTTAAATTTAATTAAATTAGTTAAATAGATTTTAAGTTAAAAACTGAATGAGTATTATATTTTAATAATAAGGATCATACGGAAGGGTAACATGGGAAGGATGGGGAGACGAGAATGAGTGGGAGAGTGGGCACGCCAGGGATCGAGACGGAATCATAATTTGGAGGAAGGGAAGATTATGAATGTGAGAAAGATAAGGACAAAATGGGGTGAGGGACCCACACAGACAAAACAAGGAGGCAAGGTGGGCCCCGCAGTTCCGGGTCACAAGCTTTATTAATTCCGGCTGCCTCTTGAGTCTTGCCTGGATCCAACCCGAAAATCTCCGTTGTCATTTCAAGTACTTGTGAGGGTAGAATAGGAACTAGGAAGCAATTCGTGGTTCAACTATCACTTCTTATTTTGACCTTCTATTTATTTATTTATTTCCACTCAAGTTTGAATTTAATAATATCATTATTATTGTTTTTTTTTTGACAAAGAAAGAAAGACTGATTTAATCTGCGCTTGTTTTACTTTTTCTCTGTATTTTATGTAAACATTTAAAATAATGCATATCATAGTCCTTTTTGGGCCACCAACTAAAGATCCAATATTGGAAGAGACGAAACTCCTCAAAAACTTTAATATTTCAAACAATTTTTATGACCATTTACCTATTATTTTTTAACACTGATTCTCTTGTTTGTAACAGAACCTAATCCTCCTGAAAATATGCAAGCAAATATAAACCAAAGATTTCTAGCGGTAGTTATTTTGATTTATAATTAATTAATTACTTTTAATTCTGTAAAATAAAAGTATAAGAAATCAGCCATAAATTTTCACTGAGATGGTCATGGCATTATTTAATAACAATTTTAGAGCGCACAACATACTGTGAAAAGCAACAGAATAATAACAACAACAATAATAATATGACAACTACGTGTATCCTATTTTGAGCCAGACAAAAGAGGAACTTGGAAAGAAGCAGCACCACAAATTTTCGCTTTTTTGGAACGGGCATGGCATTTTAAGTTGTATGGTATTATGGTATTTTCACGTGGCCCATGAATTGAGAGTAGCAAAAATGACATTTTAAAACTTTGATTTTTTTTAAATATCCATTCAAGATCTAAGATTTTTTTCCACTTTGGAACGAGCCTAAGAGATTTACATAGTAAAATTTAATTATTAATGGTAAACATGGAAGAAGGTACAATATTTCAATTTACATACCTAAGAGGTCAAGATTTCAGAAAAAGTAGTGATGCTTGACCTGGTATTTTATAAATATAATCGAATGACTGAAATGTTTTTGTATCAGTTTTTTTAAAAAAAAAAAGGCTATCGAACTTGTAAGTACATTTTTTGTTATTGGTTATTCAACACTTATTATTATTAATTCACAACTTATCAATAAACACTACATTCAGTCCTAATTATAAGATCTTATAATTAGAACATGAGGTATTGACTTATTATTACCTGTACATTTATTGCTATTTGTTGTTCTATATTTGTTCTTGTGAGTTCATAATAAAGAAACCTTCATTGATATAGACGCTGATTATTGTTTCACTCCTCTGATCTTTAATATAAGACCTAATTGTTGAGTTAATTTTGATCTTAGATATAAGACATATTTCTCATATTTATTAGTTTTTTCTAAATTATCCCTATGATCTCCTTCAATCATAATCAAGTAAAAGGGAGAGAGAAGATATTAAGAAAGATAATATGATATTTTAGAAAAAAAACATATCATATTTTTTATAATTAATTAATTTATCTATTTTTTAATTTAATTAAGTTAGTTAAATGTTCTTATATTAAAGACGGAAAAGTATTTTACAGTAAAAATAAGTTATCAATATTTAAAAATCTGAATAATTCAAAGCCGTACTTCATTTAGAACACGCAAAAGTAGGTGCGCATTTTATAATTCAGCCTGGCCATTTTCTCAAGTCTTCTTTTTTCTTTTCTAATGTTTCATTGTATACCCAGCCTCCAAACCCTCAGTTGATTAGACTCTAATTTATCATCTTCGGATATTGATTGAAAAAGCAACTGATGTGTTTCACAAAAACTTGGTCATTACCTAGTCATTTTTTTATTAGGTAGTAATTTAAAATGTTGAATAAAAAAATCAGGCTTAGAAAAAAGAAAAAATTTCTTAAAAAGACACTTAAATAACTCAAATCCTATTTAGGTTATTTAATTTATTAAAATCAAGTCACATAATCTTTAAAGAGGTGAAGATTTTAAAATCTTATGAAGCCACTATAATGTTTTTTTTTTTCATTAGAAATCAAAAGAGGTAAAGATTTTCTATCATTTAAGATCTTTAAATGAGAAAAACTTGGCATCTACTAAAAAAAAATAGAAAATTGATCAAGGAGGCAACAGTAGTTAATTTTTACATTAAATATTCCTCCCTTGACTCTAATAGTTTCATCCCAATGGAAAACTGTTAATTTAAAATTGAAACTTGTTAACTGTGAAATAAAACGTATTAATTTTCAAAATTATATTGTGTGATAAAGTTTTATTTAAAAACTAATTACAAGTATGTTTTGGAGGCAAAAAATTGTTAATTTAAAATTGAAAAGTGATTAACGTTGAAATAGAACATGTTAGTTTTTAAAGTTATATTGTGGTCAAATTTTATTCAAAAACTTGGAGTTGGAACGTGTTAACTATAAAATAGAATATGTTAATTGTCAATGTTATATTAGGATCAAGTTTTATTCAAAAACTTATTGTAACTGTGTTTTGGAGATGGAGGTGTTAGTTTGGAACTGAAATTTGTTAACTGTGTTATTGAATTTATTTTTTTGAATATTATATTATGATCAGATTTTATTAAAAAAACTTATTTAAATGCATTATGGAGACAAAAAATTGTTAATTTAGGATTGAAACATGTTAATTGTAAAATGAAACATATTAATTGTGAAGTAAAACATGCTAATTTAGAATTCTTTTCTTTTGGTTTCTAATAAAATGAATATTATAGCCATTTTATAAAATTTTAAATTTTTTTGTTATGTGATCTAATTAGAAATCTGACAAATTTAACGATTCAGATAAAAATTGGGTTATTTAAATTTTTTTTTAAAAAATTTCCCTAGAAAAAATCCATCTTGGTGAATTGTGACTCATATTGGTTCCAATTGCGGGACCAAACAGAATCAGCCCACGGCCTCTTTTTTTTTTTGGGGAAAAATCGTTCCTTGTCCTAAAGGTAGCCCACATATTAATTTAATCTCAGGCTTAGAAATTCAGTCCGCTTAACTCTAGCCCACAAAAATAATTTCGTAAAACTAAATTCAAAATTCAAAATAAAGGCAATAATGAACTTTACCTTTCTCATTTTTATTTTTTATTCTTTTCTCTTTTCCAAAGGTGTACTGTGTGCTATATCACAAAACTCAATGCTTCCATTTTTTGTCCCCAGAATAATTTTGATTTTAAAAACGGACAGACAGATGAAATTTAGATAGAAGATTCAGCCTGAAGCTGACTCGTTTTTATCTCTAATACTTTCGGTCTTTTTAAATCCAATATATATTTAAGACCCAATCCATTTTGTCTCCAATTTATGCATCCAACATAGTTTAAATAATGATTTTTAGCCAATTACTTAATTAGGGATATTTTAGGAATGGCAACACTTATTTATTATAAATAACCAACTGGGGTGTCAAAATTCAAATTGGATATTATAAATTAAATATAAATTATATGCATTGGATTTTGATTTGCTTTGACCAGCTTTATTGGGCTATGAGAGGCAGAGGCGTCCATTAATTAAATTTGCATAATTGTATCTTCTATCTGTAGTCTATAGTCTACATATTCCAACTGGAATTTCAGACTATTCAAATACAAAAGCTACCTTCTATGCACTTGCTGTTAGATTCTCACAAAACTTCACTTCCCAATGCATTCGAAATAAGTTTTATAGTCTTCTTGTTTACTTGGCCTAATGATGGAAATAAGTGCAGTCCTATATAGCCTCTAGATTTCAATCCTCCACAAATAAAACTTGCATTATGATCATGGGGGAGAGCCTACTGCAAGTTTTATCAACAATGAAGAGATCAGATCTAATTAATTAATTTATAGAAATTAAAAAATAATTTAGTTTAGTTATTTGTCAATAAAACTATGTAAAAAAAAAAGTGTGTTACTTCTTTTCAAAAACTATTTTTGTATGTAAGAATGTGAAATTTGAATTGTTTTGGTTCTTTTTATAAAATCTCACTTGTATTTGTCTAAACATTTAACGTGTTTTTATCATTTTTGCTTCTAATTAATTTTATATATTACATTAATTTAAAAATTTATTACATTGTTTCATACTTTTTCTGTTTTACTTGCCTCTTATAAATAAAAACATACGTGAAAAAAGGTTTATTTCTTACAAACTTATTACTTTTAATTAATTTTAGTTATTTTTTAAATCATGTGATTTAGTTATCAAGTTCTTATAAAAAGTATTGGAGGAGTATATTTGAGAAAGAAAAAAAGCATTAAAAGTGGGAGATGAAGAGAACTAGAAAAATTGTGAAATTAATTAGAATGATTTAAGAAAATATATCTAATAAGGGAGACAAATAATAATATGAAGGTCCTATATTTAAAAATTAAAACAAATTTTTTTAACTAGGTTTTGCATTTAAGATAAAAGAAAATATTAAATCTAATCATCTGAAAGTGCCCGCCTTTGTCCACTCAATAACTCTATAATCTAAAAATCTATAGACTTTATATTAAAGGGCTGTTTGGACAGCAGACCAAACCATGATTTGGGAAAAAAATCACCTAAACAGGCATAAATTATCTGAAACTATAGCTTGGATCAAAACTATAGTTTTGAAACCAAACCATGGTTTCGAGAGAAGTGAATATATTCTGCTTCTTGGCTCAAATTAGAGAGTATAATTATGCTTATTAGAGTAAATCTCACAATAATATGACTTTAACATCCCTTAATTAATTTTTTTAAAAACATATTTAATCTTATATCTTATAAATAAATATACATGTTATTTTATTAATTACATTATCTTATGTATTATTAATTATGTTGGTAAAATATGTTATTAACAATTTTATTTCTTCAAATTAAAATTAATACAATCTATGGATATTAATTATCATATTAACTTATGCTTTTTTTATAATTTGTACATAAAAAAGTGTTTCTGATAACACTATCCAACACTTTCACTTTTTCAAATATTTTTTTACAAAATCTATTCTTTATAAAATCTATTTTTTTCATATCTATTATCTAAAAGTTATTTTTTAAAAATCATGATTTGGTTTTTATCTAAATACCTCCTAAAATAAAGGAATTGTGCTATTCATTACAAATTCGTGAATAAATAACATAACTTATCTGGGTTCTATTTGAAAGGCGACAACGGATTCATTATCCATATAAAAACAATTACTTGGACATGCGCGTGGGTCTCAAACAGAGTGCCAAAATGGCAGTAGAAAGCGGAGGATTAATTAAAGAAGGCTCTAACAAATCAATCAAAAGTTACCCCCCAGAAAAAACAAAAAGCAATCCAAAGTGGGGAAATCGTAAGAGGCCTAAATCAACGGACAACTAACTTTCCCGTAAAACGAATCAATTTCAACTAAGATCCAACTAACACACAATAATGAATTCCAAGAACAAGAGGAAAAAATCATATTACTTCCCACACTAAATATAAAAACTGGTTAACTAATTTAAATAGATTAAAAAATAAATTAAACTGGTTATTTACAATAAATACGTATTATCTTTGTTAAAATATTCTTACTAATCAAATGTATTGGTTAGAACTATTATTATTAGAAAGACTACTTTGATAAAAAAAATACATAAATATAAGAGACAAAGTGAATTAGAGTTTTATATTTAAAACTAAAATAAACGAGATCTTATGTTAAGAATACAAGTTTCTGAACTAAAAGATCATTTTTTCTCACGCCTACTAATGCTATGGCTGCCCTTTTTATTGCCTTAGTTTCAACCAGGCATTATATGTGTGGGTCACCCTGCCAAACACGCCCAACTTCACGTGTAAATTTATCACAAAAATTAAAACATATGGTACCAAATGGTAAAATTGGCATCTACCAACCTCAATAAGGCTCCCTTCTATAAATGCTTTGTTGGTTTGTTGGTCTCCATAATGCCCTCCTGAAATCAACTAAATCCTCCATTTAGCTTACATCCCAAAACAAATTTGCCTTCAAAACTACTCTTTAGCTTCATCTTTTCACAATTCGTTCTGATGGGTTCTGTTTTCGGCTTTTGAGTGTGCTGCTATAAGAAACTCATCGACAATAGAACTCTCTTCATTCTCGTTTTCCCACATATTATTATATTATTAACTATCTTCCAATTTTGAAGGGAGGCATTGAGAGTGAATGAGGTAATAAATGTTAGACTTTAATGCGCAGGAGGAATAAGATTCAAATGTGAAGTGAGATATTATTGAGGAAGGAGAAAAAAACGTAAGGGCTAGAATTGGCCTGGTAATTCTCGAGTGATGCCATGTGGAGAAGGTAACGTTAAGGTCTCTCTCCATCTTATTCTCACCAACTGATTCCACTTTCAAAAATCTCTTCCGCATACCTTGCTCTTTTTTCTTAACCGCTCCACCTCCCTGCTCTCCCTCTCTCTCATATTTTTTCATAATTCACACAATTCACTATTCATATCCCCCTTTTCTCGTTTAGCTCTTGTTTTTCCAAATTCCCAAAGGCATTTCTTTTTGTCACTCTCATCAATGGGGAGAATGGGACAAGAAGAACCAGATTTGAAAACCCAGTTAGTTCTGGACATCTGCTCCATCTCTACTCGCTCCGTGGTATGCGTTCATAGGCTTCTCTCAAACCCAGCTAAGCCAACTTCTTTCATCGATTGGTATCACATCCTTGGAGTAAGTTCATGCTCTCTTCCTTCTTGTTTATGCAAAGAATCTGTACAAGTTTTTCTGGATTCTTTCTGTATGATGTGAATTTCTATATTGTGGGTTCTCATTTCTCATAGGTGGAAGAAAATGCAGGGCCGAATAGCATTCGCAAGCGATACCATAAGCTGGGTAGGTTGAATTTTCCTTTCTTGTCTTTTTCCCCAGCATTATCTGCAATCGGCATTATGTTCTTGAAAAATGATGTCGACTGTTCTTGTCACAGCTTTGCAGCTTCACCCAGATAAGAATAATCATCCCAAGGCTGAAATTGCCTTCAAGCTTGTCTCTGAGGTTCGTTTGTGATTTCCTTTCCTTCTTCCATTTCTTGGTTGGTCTGGGCGTAATTGAGCTGTAATTAAGAAATGTCCGTGCTTGTACAAAACACGAAGCTGATCCAGATAGTTTGAGAACAAAAATGTAGTTTATGTATTTAATTAATAGTGAGTGAGTACAATCTCAACCCGGGCGTCTTCCCTCTTCTTTTTCTGCAGGCATATACATGTTTGTCTGATGCTGCGAAGAGAAAAGCCTTTGAGCTAGAGAGATGGAAAAACTTCTGCTTTGAGTGCAAAAGGATCCCATACTCATCATCTGGCAGTGTCCCTCGCAATTCCCATGGTGGTTCAAGTTCCAAGGTATGGAATATTATCAGCAGGTCAAGATCCTACAAGTTCTGGAGAAATATAAAGGAAATTAGAGAAAGATTCAAGGAGGAGGCTAAGGTGATAGAGAACTGTTTGAGGGCAAATTCAATGCCCAGGAAAGAATCTCCACTTTTCAATCCAGTAGATTATTTAGAAAGAAGCAGGTCTCATCGCAGAACAGAGGGAGAAACCCCCGTGTTCAACCCATCAGACTACTTGTACCAAGGCTATCCTCATCTGAGAAGCCAAATTTTCAAGAATTCCGATAAGTTTTGGTACTTGCAGACGGAAAATAGTATTCTGCATGAGAGGGGAGCATCCAAGTATGACTCTCCAGTTTTTGAGGTCAGACCAGAAAGGAGAATGTTTACCAGCAAATTTGCTTATGTCCCGTCATGAAGCCAGGGCAAAAACATTTTTACATTTGCTATGCAATTTTAAACATTTAATTAATGCAATGTGCTCGCGATTGCAGTATTCAGGCTTCCTTATAGAATAGATTATAGTACTCTGTCGCCAATTCATCATGACATATGCTACTGTTGCTTTACCTGCATAGTGAAAGAGCATTGCTCATGTTGAATTTGGGTAAAAATAAAACTACAGAGCACCCGGAAAACAAAAGCTTAAAAGAATCTGAAACTGTGTTTAGTAAAACTAAATAAATTCGCTTGAAAAATAATGACAATTTTAAATCTAGAATGTGTAAATCAAATCTGGACAATCTAGGGAGAATGGGCACACAACAGGAAGTAAGACCAAATCCACTCGCCTTTGCGGAGCTGGTCTGAGCTAGCTCTATAGAGATAGTCCGTTTTGATGCATATAAAACGACATATATAAACTCTGCATGATGATTGAAAGAAAACTGCAATTTGCAATAATCAGACGAGTATTGCTACCATTAAATGTTGGCCGAAAAAGAAGTTACCAATATTAGGTAACGTGTTGTGACAGCATCTATATTAATATAGAATGGAGCTTATGTCCATAAATCCCTGGAAGAAACTGACCAAGATATCTGCAGCGTAACTGGTTTTTTCCTTTTTAAAAGTTTTCTCCCACAAGGGGGAATCAAAAGTGGGGCAACCAAAAACTAGTTTTCTGATGGTTCAACAACACTGAGAATTTTCAAGGATATGCTCCTCCCGTGAATTTGAGACTCGGATATTGCTAGGAGAGATGCTATTGCTTCGTGAAGGTTAATAATCTCATCATCCAAACTCCTAAACTGGGCGAAGTATGCCTCTAGAAGCCATGTTTCAACCTGCTCGAACCATCAGAATCGCAGAAGAGACAACTCTCAGGCATCAAATCTTTTAGATCAGATGAAATTATAGAATCAACAGTAACATATACAGCTTCTTTGCCAAAGTTGAATCGTTTTAGTTCGCCCATACTTCCAGTTCATATATCAGTGAGATTTCGCAATGGATGATATGTCATAAAAGTCACCTATCAAACACAATTTCACAGTTCATACATATTCAAGCTGGTCTCAGGTTTGCACCATCTCCAATCCCAATATAGTTGCAAACACGATAATATAGAAGACATTTGAGTTAACAGGGAGACCAGGATTAGCGTAGCAGCAAAAAAGAACACTGAAATGGAAATGAGAACAAGAGCCTATCTCATTATCATCAAGGAGAAAAATGGCAGACTAGGACCTGGAAGTTTAAAGAACAAGTACAGACTTAAGATTCTTATCAGTATCTATATTAGACGTAATTTCTAAGGAACTTCTACTTTTATGTTAGAGATAATAGCATGATCTCCTTTCGTTGCAAAGTAGAGTTCCCTGTTTGTTTTACAATTTCAAACAACTTAATCTAGAATATATAGACAAATTGTTGAGTTTTAGGTTCATATGAGTAGTAACTACTATTGAGTCAATAGAGCTGCTTATGTTAAGAAAGCACATTAAGCCTTTACATTTATGTGAGCTTTCGAAAAGCTTTGCATAAATTGTCTTGTTTAACATTTTTAATGCTTCATATCTTCAAATAACTTCACATACCAATCATAGCTATATCCCAATAAGTAAAATATAATTTAAGCATGTCTATTTTGCCAATGATATCAAATTTGAGTGTGGACGGGGATAAGTTAAGTACAACATAGATCTTTAGAGCTGAAATTAGCAATACGTAGTTTAACGTTATTAATTATTATTGTAAAATTGAAAGAAAAAAAAACAGAGAGAGAAAAGGAAACTTTTTAATGAACAATGATTGATTGGAAGGGATTCAATATTAATTAAAGTTATGAATGATTAAAAAAACATGTGGGAGAGTTACCTCCGATTTGGGCCAGTAATAATACTTGCATATAGATTAATCGATAGTAAGGGATATGAGATAGTTGTATCAAATAGAAAAGTCTCTATAGGTCTGCTGCCAATAAATATAGTTACTGTGTCAAATTCCTTACCATTTCCATGGTCATAATGGCCCGTTTTATGTATTTTACCCCTTACCCCTTTGCCATCTTTCTTTCATCCGAGGGAACATAAAATGGAGGAACAACTACAACCTCACATTTCTATTACATAAGAAAGAAACTGCTGAAGGTTCTCTTGAAATTCACACTGCCATGTTTTACACTGAAAAAACATCCAATCTTGCTTCCACCTGTCATACCAACCAAAAACAAGGAATGGACAGGATAACTGTTGCGTTCTTTTCATGGAAGGAATTTCCACAGGCTCAATTTAGATAAATGGAATTAAAACCATAACCAAGTGTGTTGGATGAACAGAAAACTTGTAGAACTAGCGGTGAAGCGGAGACACTCTCACTATCAATGCGAACGTCCCTTGAAAATTCTCCTTATGACAGATGTCAACTGTTTTAGTTCTCTAAACTCGCCTGAATCACTTGAGACATACATCGCATCAGTGAACCTTTCAGGTAAGCAAACTTGGACATGATGTCTAATAAAATATATATTTTTTGTTATTTGATTGAGGGTTTTCCTTTCGCCCTCAGAGCTAGAGCAAAGAGTTTTCGTCCATACACCTCTCGGAATTTGAACTTGTGTTCTTCTCCTTATAGGAATGAAGCTGTTTAATTACCACATCTATCAGCAGCTTGTTAGTTGTCTGATAAAATATTTATAAGACAAGTAAATGGGTAGAGCAAGACAAATGTGGAATTTTTAAGGTCATGCTGATCTAATCAAGACTAATGAAATTAAGAGATCAAATAACACCAAAATATGTAGAGGAGCAATGTTGCTAGCAAAATGGCTCAATAATACAGGGCACATCACCATCTTAATAAAGTCAAAGCATTGAACATCAACCAATCACAATCCAGTGATAAATTAGGCACAAAACAAAACCTATGGGTTTAGATAAATCAATCTATCGAGATTGCGCAAAGTTTCTAGTTTGCTTGTAGTTAATATTTTTAAGTTTAACTAGGCAACTATTAAAGAACATTAAAAACCATGCTATGGTGGATTATTCTTAGAAATACTCACATACGTGAAATAGTTGGATTACTGATATATGGTAAATTATAAGAAAGTTCCTGTGTGTTCAGAAGAAGTCAATAAGTACATGTTTCTTACGTTGCAAATGTCCTTACTTCCCAAAATATGTACCTGTAACAAGGGGATGCAAATATGTGTGAAATGTCCATTTTATTCACGTAAAGGACCCACTTTTAGGCCATAATTACAATAACATATGACTAAATTTGGACCCGTTTGACTTGGTTTTACGTAGTTTGGTGTGCCTGCTTTTCAGGGTCTACTAGGCCGAAATGAGGGAAAATTGGGCCAAAGACAATTGAGTTAAAAACTCAATTGGCTCCAAATAAATACTCACCAGATGCTTGCTTTCATCTGGTGAAGGCCAGTATCAGTATGTAGGGGGCTCGCTTTTTCCCAGTGTAGCAATTAATTTTCTCCGTGCTTTTATTTGAAAAAAAAAATTGTATGACATTTATGACTTCAAGAATACTTTCTAAATTTAAAGTTATTCAACTACCGCATCTCTTTCAGCTGGTAAACAGTTCTTAGTATCCGTCTATTAATACGAGAAAAGGAAAACGTTTAAAATGACAGGATACACTAAGTGGATAAAAAATTGAAAATATAGAAGTTTAGAAAGAAAACAAAACAGTCTATATATATGTACATACCATGAGAAGACAAAAAAAAGCATATACCCACCTGGCGGATCATCTCTTCATCTTGAGCCGATCTTCTGTCACAAGCCTTCAGATATATGGAAGCTCGAACTAAAATGTGAGGAAATGGATGAAATATAAAGGCAGCTCGACGGATCAACAGAGGCATAGATTGCAATTCTTTTGTCCTTATGGGAAGATACTTAACTCTGTCCTGGGAACATACTCAACTCTGTCCTGTTCAGCAGTGTCTTGATGCCTAATCCTCTCCCACAAGTTGTGCAGGCTCAATCTTTAATTGTCCATAACATATCTTAAGCTCTAACGAGTCACTTCTTGAAGAGTCCTCTTCAAAATCCTATAATCCTTAAAAGAGTTATAAGAAATTCATGCCTGAATGCCATATTAAGACTTAAGATCGTAAAAGAACAGTAAATCGAACATTAATACAACTAGCACTGCAATATCTGCCAATACGAAGAGCCTCCGATGAGTAAGTGTATATGCAACATATAGGTACACTTGGCCCACCCCAAATTAAAGGCCCTGAGCTGGAGCTCAGTTTTTAGGCCAAACGAAGTTAAATTTAAGCTCGATAATAAGGTCTGTACAACTTGAAGATCCTGAATTGGTCCAAACCATCCCAAATATAAAGAAGAAACTGATTACGGACACTTTTTTAAGAAGAAACAAATACCCAATGCCAGGAAGATCATTGGATACTTCGATTAAAGAAGAAAGCATACCCTATAATAGAGCTGTTGACGGAGCCGTAGCCTCTTAGGGATTCGAAAGGACTTCCGGAGCATATGCGACCACGAGCTTTGACAATGGGCATCTTGAAAGTAGATTCACCTGCCCAGTGCTCGTGCCTCCCATTCACTTTCCCTCTATTCATTTATAATCTTAAAAAATCGTTTTTTTTTTTCACCTCAAACTATAAAATATAAAAGTTCATTGAAAAATGAGGATAAAATTAAATTTTTTTCCCCGCTGCCTTGCATGCATTGAAGGAATCGCCATAGATCTGCAATGGAAGTATTACATTTTGTATCAAAACAACTTTGTGTTTTCAATTTCTCTTCACACTGTTTTCTCTCATCACCCACCAAACACCACCTAATATCATGTGTTTCACAAGAATCTTGATGTGTGCGTGTACGCTCTTCCTAATCAATTCACATCGGAGGTGTTACATCAGTATTTCAAGGCACATTATTTCGAGTAGGTGAAGCATCATGGTCAAATATTCAATGTCCCTGATCCTAGCTAGTGAGTTCTTATAAAGAAGAAGGAGGGGGCTTCCCTTGAGCTGCTAGATATCGATAACGTTTCGCT